TTAGTAATTGTGAAGAAAAAGAAAGGAGGGGAAAAAACAGCTAAAAGTTCAGCAGGTAGTAATTTAGTAGATAATGGAATTGAAGCACAATAAAGATCTGCTGATTTCTTTCTCTTTGGTAGCCTCAAGTGGTAGTTGGAAGAAATGCTCTATCAATACACAATGGAGGTTGTTATCTACTATTTCCTCTCTCATTCTGAAGGCATCAATAATAGAAACTGGCAGCTAGAAACTTTATTACAGCTTCTTCTATAGATTTTTTAGGATTTTTGCTAGCAATCTGTGTTTATCTGCCTGAACAGAACAGAACTGATATGACAAAGGTGCTAGCTTATAGAAAAGGTGATATTTAACACTAATTCTATAGAACACATCACATTTTAATCTATTTTACTAATATACATTATTTAAATGAAGGTTATCTACAAGCTACAGTTATTGTGTTCTTGAATAGAGCAGCACTGTTTTTATAAAATAGCATTAAGAGTTAAGACATTCAATTAGTTACTAATTATCCTTGCATTGTTTAAGAATTTCCATCATTCTCTAGAGTTAATAAACAAATTAGCAAAGCCTGAAGAACATGGTTTCAAGAATTCTTTCTTTTCTACCTGTAGCCATAGAAGACACAACTACTGTATTTTCCTTTGGATAAAGAATAAACCTGTTGGATACATGATGCATCTCTGCTCTCCCCTTATGCTGCAGCTGTGTGAAATAGCAATCAACATAACACCTTCTTTGCAGGACTATATTGGCAGATATTCCTCTGGAATATTTTTCTCTGTAATGCCTGGCTGAATCTATCCCATTTGCAGCCTTCCTCTGCCAGACCAGAGTTGGTTCTGTGCTTTCACTTTTCAAAATGGTTGGTCTGGATGGTCTCTTGTGACGAGCCGATAGACAGAGAAAGGAAGCAGTAGGCTTCCTCCCATATTTGGGCATACCAGGGGATGTGACCCTAAATACATACCTATTTCCCTGACTCAGCTGATAAAGGAGGAGAATCTTGTGGCTTAGTGGTTAACACATCTGCCTAATATGTAATACAGTCCAGGTTCGAATCCCAGGAATGGTATGGCTAGCTGATGAGAGCTAAATAGCTTGAAATAGATCTATACTAGTCTCCCTTTATTTATTTATCAGCACAAATACAACATGTGTGTGTGTATATATATATATATATGTGTGTGTGTGTGTGTGCGCGCGCGCGTGTGTGTGTGTGTGCTGATAAATAAATAACTCTAATTACACACACACACACACAGCTGAAGGACAAAATCCTGGGCTTTTCTTTCCAACATTCTGTTGGATTTGAAAGAATAAAGGGAGAGAAACAAAATTGAACAGTAAACATATATTAAAGCAATGATGGTACAAACAGCTGAAGATACTTGATCAAGCACCTCTTTCCAATGAATGCCTCAACAAGAGGATCATGTAGAAATGGTGTTAAGGAGAAATCCGTCTTAACTGATTCTTTCCAATCTTTCAACAAACAGCCACTCCACTTTGGTCATGTGACTGGAGAGGGCTTAAGACACTTAGCCATATATCAAGCTGCCGACTTGAATGAACCAGGCGGTGGTTTTTTTGAGGGGTGGGGAGGTTCCTCACTATTTTCAGCTGGAACTCACCCATTTTCAAACCTGATCCTCCTCCTGCTGGGCTTTCTACAGTGTCAAATTTGATGCTGCTTTCTCCTCTTTGGGAAAGTTATGGTACTGATATGCACTTAAGACTGAGTTTTAAAACTCTACACAATTCTTTTCCAACATTTGATTGTATGTGAAGAGACTAAAAAGTTAAGAAAAACACTACTTTTTCATTAAAGTTATAATATTATAACAAATTAACACTTTTAGTAATTTGACTGTAGTATATTCCAGGTTAATCTCACATAAGAGTGTGGATTTCTACTTAATTCTACCTGGAGATTCTAGGCATCACATTTTCATACCTGAACTTGAACATGAAGCCAATACACCAGTGTGAAAACTTAATTAGTCTCCAGACAATTCTCAACTCATAAAAATCAAAAAAATAAGCTAAAGTAAAACGTCACTTGCCATCATTTAGATCTGAGGTTTAAATACAGCAAATATCTTAAGTAATTTCAAACCCATGAATATTATTTCCACTCCATGAATCTCCTTTAGCAATAAGAAAACCATTGTCAAAAAGATATTGAGAGTTTTCTCCTATGGGAACAAATTCTCTCTCCCAATTTCTTTCAGACATATAATTTCACATTCATAGATGCACTTTCATTCTAAATATCCTGTAAAATTATTGAAAATATACCAAAATGCAGAGCTCTATTCAGTACATATTAGACTTCGCTCTAGATTTCTCTGAAATAGAGTTTTGAAACTTGCATAAATTAAGAAACTGACTTTGTTTTTCTTTTACTATTAGCACAACTGAATACAAATATATATCTACTGCAAAAGTTACAGAAAGGTTTTCACATTATGAAATAATGAATTACAATGCTGACATTAAAAATGTGGGTCACCTGTAAAAAATCAATAACAACTTGAGCTAAGATTTTTTAATATGCTTTACTAATATTTTTGGAACAAACCCTTTGCAAAACTAAGCTATATAAGTGACACTGGTTTTAGTGAAACTAAATGAGATTACGGGTTCTCGGTTGTTCTATAGAAATCAAAAGACATTGCTACATTTTAGTTTAATCCTGTCTAACATTTTTAATGTCCTTACATTAATTACAGAAATCTAGATAAAAATGCACTTTCTCTGAATTTCAGAATTTGCATACTATTACATAGCAAAGTACTAAAACTTCGACTTGCACTTAGCATTAATGCCTTTAGGACCTGAATAGGATTTTTTTCAGAAAAACAAAAAGGTCTTTACAATCAATTGAAAAAATATTTATTCCAGTGTTAAACAATGATTTAATAATAGTTTAGGAAAACCACATGATACAGAATACAAAATGTACATTTTAAAACCGTTTCATATACATGCTAAATGCATGCTCTGCACTGAACAGCAAAAAAGGTGCCCGAACAATTGGGTCACAGACTTCAAAAGAACAAAAGAAAATTAGTTCATCTTTATATATTTCATTAGGTGAAAGATTCCTCCACAAATAAGCATTTCAAAATAACGTACTTATATTATTACCACAGGTTTTTTTTGTTTTACAGATTCATAAGTGACAATTTTGTTATTAAAGAAATCTGGGTTTAAGTTCAGTCTGCTGGAAACTTTGCTTGCATTTACTAATTCCCCACTCATCACCTTTTCAGCAATGTTTTCTTGCTCTTGCAAAATATAATTTCTGTTTACAATGAATATTATTACCTCTTCAAATTTTATGCTGGCAACATACAGATATTACAAAGCCTATATATCAGATTGAAGATGATTGCCTATTTTCCTCCCTTACATAGAACAAGAGTTAGCCCGTTTTCTAGGAACAGGCTCTCGAACCCCACGGTCTTTTTTACATATGCAAACTGAGCATATTGTCTCTGACAATCTCCAAAGTCCCAACCTAAAAACGCTATTTGACAGACTATATATTACACAGTTACAAAAACTATTGCTAATAGCAAGCCAGGTTGTTACAAAAGAGAGTGCTGGGTTTTCAAGCACCTTAGTGCTCTCTAGCATGAAATATATAATGTAGGGCAGCCAGAGCACATAAAACACACTGGTTATACGAAATAAAACCATAGCATAGCGGCTATCTGGGCTATGTCCAGCTTCTGCAGTAGTATCTACTTCATGACTAGGAAATCGAGCTCTCCGGTCATTTATCTCTTTGGTGTGCTGCCGGCAAATTTTGAATATGTGGAAATATGTAAAACAGATTATAAAGGCAGCTGGAGCGTAAAGTAAGCAGACAATAAATCCAGTAAAATAGGCATTGGTGAGCCAAGAAGCTGAACACCATTCAAAAATATCTCCGTGATAACCTGGCTTTCCCCAACCAAAATAGGAAGGCAGGAAGATAAGTGCCGAGTAGAGCCAGATCAAAATAATGCAGATCCTCAAGCGACAGGGGGTGACCAACTGGTTATACGAGAGTGGTTTTGTGATCGCCAGGTAGCGATCCACGCTAATGAAAGCAAGGCAAGCCATAGAAACACTTTTCAGTACGGAGATGACATACACAAAAATTTGACAAGTTAAGGACTCGTGAACACCTACAGAATAGTGAAGCAGTGACAAGGTAGGAATTAAGCAACTAATCCCAACGAAAAGATCAGCATATGCCATAGTCTGAATAAAGTAGCTGGTGGTATAATGATGCAAAAGTGGAGCACAGTGGATGACGAATATTACTGTTAAGTTACCAGTAATAATTAAAAATGTTAGTAAGATAATAACAATAGTCTCAAGGATACAAATATCAATGGCATTATAATGTCCAAATCCGAAAGGGCAGGATAGATGCTCAGATACATTCTCATTACTATCATTCATATTCAGATTCTTCCATTCAGTCCATGCGAACTGGTTCATAGTTTGTATTATTTGACAATACAGTCAGAATTCCAGTTACTAGCGATCCATTGTTCACCCGCTATTTTTTTTCCTGTGCCTCAGTTTCTCCATGTAAATATTAACATTGCTTCTGAATAGTCAGCACTGAAATCTAGAAAGCAGGCAGAAAGGCCACTTATCCAGCTTCTTCCTGTACTCCTTCCTTTCTCAGCAAAGCACAAGGCACTTTTTAAACAAAGCCAGACATTTGAACTACACTTTTGAAAAGCAGAAATACAAAAATAACAGGGTGGGAAGAAAAGAGGTACACAACGTTGCAGTTAAAAAATTCTAGAAGTACATTTTCCTGGGAAAGGGAGGAATTTAAAAAAAGGAATAAAAAATGTTCCATATAACATTTTGGAAACCAAATAACAATAATGTTTAAGAACAATATGACTAAGAAATCCAGTAAAATGTTTATTCTGGTATATTGTATCTTTTGGTTTTCAGATCATAATGTTCCTTGTATCAGCTTAATCTGCATTTTTATGGATATTGTTCTGAGCACATGAATGCAAACCAGCTTCATTAGTCTTTGGTAATGTGTTAAGAAATATAGTTAAAGTAGTAACTGATATATGGAGATTCCTGTCATCTCTTTGATGAATTAGATCTTCTCTGTTTGGTTAAGAAGATAAAATACAATAAAGAAAAGGCACACACTGGCATAGTGTTAAGAGTTTCAACAGCCAATTCTGTTTGAAACAGGCTGCCGACCTTAATGTGAAAATGTCAGCAAGATAATCCAAGCTTCTCACACAGCACAAAAGTGTCTTGCATTTAATGTCAGGAAAAAGAAAGTGAAATCCTTGACTTCTGAAATAGGGCTACAACTGCAACAACATAGGATCATTTTAGTGAAGTTCATAGTTCTGTCCCAGTCACTTCTCACCTCTATAGCAATCTCCATTTTTTTTTCATATGCTCAACACAATGCTATCATTAACTTTCATCCACATTTTTCTGAGAAGCTAATGAAATGTTGATTTAACAAGAAAAGCTGTCATGGTACAATATTATTCCGTTTATTTTCTGGATTCATTTTCCCAGTTGCTGTGTATGTATTTTCTTTAGTAATTAAATAACCATCTGCTTCCAAAGGCTTGTATGATGTGGCAAAACATTAACATATTCATTACATTTGCAATAATAACACATCGATGGGTTACAAAAGTTCTTTCAATACTCACTAATAAGCAGGCATTCGATACATGCAGCGGTCTTACTTTCTAACCTATCTCTACACAAATCAAATGCATTTTTAATTAAAGATCCAAAGAAAAGCAAATCATCCAGTCTTAAAAAAATAAATAAAAATCCAAAGTAACTTCAATTTTATATTAAAGCTCAGGTGAAGGGCTTTTTTCCCCCCTTTTTCCTTTTTAAAGTCCTGGAATCACACTTGTGCTATTTAATAGTCCATGGTGTGGAATTCCTTTCACGAGAGAAAGAATAAGTATTTTCTCTGCTCCTGCTGCAGCAATGGAATAGAAGACATCCTTTTCTAAGTTTCACGCCTCATGTTCCTTATCACCATGAAGTGCTGAAAATCCTTCTTTTTAATGCCATCCATAACATGTTGCCTGTGAGATGCTTCCGTAAGCAGTCCAAACTACTATAAAATGAATACTGATTTGCATTCTCTTCCCGAAGCAATAAGAAAGTGTATTTGGTAATACACTAGCTTTTGTCTCAAAATGAGGTACAGATGCTATCCTGTTTGCCGAAAGAATGCTCTTTCTATTCTTTACATGTTTCCTTGTGATATTACAGTTTTCACCCTAACTCTGCCCCTCCTCTTCATCCTTAGCTGATGCAAAAAAACTCACCATTAGGAAGGTGACTCGGTCCTTCGGTCCCAGTCAAAAGCACAGCCAATGGCTATTACAGCTGAATCTGTCACTAGGTAACTGTTGCCAGGCGCAATCCTAGCTTATACCCTTCCACAGCAATCCATGAATAAGGATGACAAGGGAAGATAATGAAGATGACCACCCAAATTAATATATTACAAACTATAGGAACAGAGATGTTTTTGTCAGCTACAGTTCTTCCAATTAACACACCATAAAATATTCATTGGGATAACACTACAATGCTCCATCACCAACGCCCTTTTTACTGAACCATATACCAGAACAGTTAGCAAGTCAAAGTAATTTAATTCTTACTGACAAGAATTGTCTATTAATTATTAAACTCACAAAAAAAAAAGGTAATAAAAAATTCCTGTAGTCAACTGACATTTCAAACTTGGGTCATTATAACAACTATAACGAAGGTAAACATGTAAAATGTACTATAAAAGCACCCATTCATTTATTTCCATGAATGCACATGGTAAATAATGATAATAATCAAATTCTCAATGCATGCTACATTGCAAACTTAAATTATTATATATTACCCAAATCTACAGAATCTTAATAGCACTATGAAATTGCTATCAGTGTAATAGCCTAGTAATTGCATCATTAAAGATCATAAAATTATGCCAAATGCAGGATTTGTTGGTTTTCTTGAAAGAAAATGTTCTGATGTTAAATAACTGTATTGTTTGCCATTATTGGGTTGCTAACATCTTCTACTGGAATACTTAGCGTTTTATAAATAGGCTAAATATGAGTGAATTTGCTGTGTTTCAAATACTGGAAATATGGCTAACCATCTTACAATAGTGACTCCCAACAACAAACTAGGATTAAAACAACATGGTCCCTGACATCTAAAGGTATCCAATATGTCTCAAACGGAAAAAACACATCAACAGCTCACCTAACCATCTTGCCCAAATACCTGGGGAAAAAACAGATCTTTAGAGCCTTATCAAAGGTTAACATGGTCAGGGTCATCTGCATCTCCGGGGGGGGGGGTGCTGTTCTACAGGGCAGGTGCTGCGTGACTTCTAGATCCAACACAGTGGTATTGTTGGTTTGAAGGGACCCAGAGCATGTCCTCCCCAATAGACCTCATGGGGTGGGCAGAAACAATAGGGACAGGTAGTTCCTCGAAGAGCCTGGTCATTATGCTATGCAGGTGACTGTCAACAACTTGAATCACACCTGTAAGTCTATATCTTGTTTTAATATTTTTAAGCTAGTTTAATTTATGAAATGTGTGTAACTTTATTTTATGGTCAGTAAGTTTCAAAGGAATTCAGTTAACAAAGCATAAAACCTGATTTTATGTTTTCCCCCTTGAGTTAGCATCCTCAAATAATATTTAATGTTTAGGGTCTATAGGCTGAAAATATCACCCCATCATATACATTTGACACTTTGCAATATTTCAGGGTATTTTGATAGACAGTGGTATTACTGATAGCTATAATTCAACTACAACTCTGGAATGAAAGCTATTTAGCAACATATATTTAATTAAACTTGATGCCAAAATGAAAAATGTCTTTTGTACCCTTTAGAAATCCTCACTACACATAACCCTAGAGAACAGGAGGATTATAGATTACATTTTTTCAACAAGTAATGAGATCACTGCATTTATATAAAAAGTCCTGTGTAAAACTTTATGTTGAGGAAGCAGTGCAATTAATAATTTAACTAAACATCTTTCTACAGTGTCCAACAATTGTTCCATTTAGGAAAGATGTTTTTAAATAACCAGGCTAGAGGCGTTCAGTAACGTAACAGTTTTTCCGGCTTTATTAAACACAGGTCTGTTAACTAGGAGGATTCAGAACATGGACAGCTCCCGGCCAACTGACAGCTCTTTATATACTGGAGCTGTCAGTTGGCCAGCCAATAGGCGCCCGCCGCGTCTTCCT